GCTCAAGAGGTAGAGTGCTCACCTTGAGCTGAAGAGCGCAGGGACAGTGCCCAGGCCCAGAGTTCAAGCCCCATGACCGACCAAAAAAAAAAAAAATAAGAAGACGTAGAAGACTTTGTAGGACACACTTTAAAACTGATTCTCAGAGTGAAGAAGCTGCCTCTTTTTGGTGATAACTTCTGGGATGTTCCTCTGCTTCCCATCAGCCAAAACCAAAAACATGCCATATAGAAGAAACATAAGTGCTTTAAGTATGAAGCTAGGTGTGGATAAGGGATCTGCCCACTAACATCATGGTGACTTGAGCAAGGAGTGGGAAAATACAAAGATAACGTCTGCGACAGCTGCCTGCATTTAAAAATCAGCACATTGCTTACAAAAAATCTGGCTTTCTGGATAGTCACAAAAATATCAGAAAATCTGGACTTGTATTCCTACGTGGAATGGCTGCTGTTCCCATGAGAGAGAACGTTTACTTTTAATGTGACACAGTGCCCACCCCTCCATAATGTCTTGCTTAAATTATTGTCCTATTTAACTACTCCTGGGCCCTCCACAAAGGAATCTCAATTGGCTACCCTCTGAGAAGGGTGCTCACATAAGGCCAAGTAGCCTTCAGAACTGGCATTTGATTTCCTAGGACAAAAATCTTTAAATATGAAGCTGTAATAGGAACCTGGAGGCCTTTCTTGACAGCTTGCCCAGCTCTCATTATGACATTTAGCTTGGAATTGATATTGCATGTGTCATGGAGACCTTGGCAGTCAATCTCTGGGTTGAATCTATGGAAACCAAACAGAATAGATTTGTCTTCCCTTTCCATTTTGGCTGTGATCTGGGAAACAGGCTTTTCCTGGCCTGTGTGAGAATGAGAGACTTGGGAGCCATGCAGAGAGGGATGCACACAAGCCGCCTTCAGGATTTGGAAAGATTACAGGTCTGTGGTTTCTGGACGGCTCTGTGCTTTGTTCTCTTCCCCCATCAAATCTGCATTCTGGAGGATAATAGATCCCAGAGCCCCCTCTGCGTGCCAAGTGGCTCTGGGCAGACCGCACTACTTCCTCTTCTGTCTGGAAATCCAGCCGAGGCTTTCAGCGCAGAGGTGGGGCCAGTGATGGCTCCCTCCACAGCATAATGAGGGGGAACAGCCTCATTGAAGGGGGAGGTCAGCTTCAGAGATCAAAGGCAGCAGATGGAGTTGTCAGAATAGAACTGACTCCAGTCTCCCTGAAATCACCTCTTCCAAAAGCAGGCCCCACACCACAACTTTTAGGTATATGGTGCCCAGGTTCCATTCATGGGGAAACAAAAACGGTGGGAGCCCCTGTGGGTCTGAAGCAAGCAAAGCTATGACTTAGGACACTGGGGGGTCTGTGCTGCTCCTGCAAGAGAAGTTTCTGACTATCCTGTGAAATAATTTCTCTCCTTCTATGGAAATACAAGTAGGCAGGCCCCACAGTGAATTTCAGGCCTGACCAAGTTCCCCTGAGGAAGGCACAGTCCATGCTATGTCCTGAACATGCCTCCTCTGAGTCCCCAAAAAGGCCTCACAGGTTTGCATTGTTTATTCAATTGTTTCCCAGGCCATCCATTCACCAAGTAATTCTCTCACCCAACACAGATACTTTCTCTCTTCTTTTTTCTTTTATATGTTGTAGGACTTGAACTCAGGACTTGGGCACTGTCCTTGAGCTCTTTTGGTCAAGTCTAGTGCTCTACCAACTTTGAGCCACAGTGCCACTTTTGGTTTTCTGGTGGTTAATTTGAGATAAAATTTTCATGGACTTCCTGTCTGGGCTGGCTTTGAACCGTGATCCTCAGATCTAAGCCTCCTGAGTAGCTAGAATTACAGGTGTGAGCCATCAGCACCTAGCTCCAACACATACTTTCTAAGCACCTCTGCATTTCAGAACTGAGAGTGGACTAGATAACAGGCCCTCTCCTCCTTGCTCTGTATTTCCATTTGGAGCAATGATATGTCCCCACCTTAATAAGAAGATGTAAAGCACCTTGGGCATGGTTCTCTACGAGAAATAGCTCCTTACTGGGTATCAATGGCCAATGCCTTTAATTCTAGTTACTTTAGAAGGCTGAGGTCTGAAGATCTCAGTTTGAAGCCAGCTGAGACTCTTATTTCCAACTAAGCCAAAAGTGGAGGTGTGGCTCCAATGGTAGAGCATCATCCTTGAGCAAAAAAGCTAAGTGAGAGCATAAGACCTGAGTTCAAGCCTCAGGAGTAGTACAAAAACAAAAGAGAAGCTGAGGGCTGGTGGCTTATGTCTATAATCCTAGCTACTCAGCAGAATGAGATCCGAGAATCTCAGTTCAAGTCCAGCTCAGGCAGAAAAGTCCATGAGACCTTATCTCCAATTAACCACCAAAAAGCCAGAAGTAGAGCTGTGTGGTTCAAGTGGTAGAATGCTAGCCTTGAGCAAATAAGAGTCAGGGACAGCACCCAGGCTTTGAGTTCAAGCCCAGAACCAGCAAAAACAAAACAAAACAAAAAATGAAAGCGAAAAAGAGAAAGGGAGAGAGAGGAAGTAAAAGAGGGAAAGAAGGGAGGAAGGGAGGGAGGAAAGAGAGAGAAGAAAGAAGAAAAAAAACCCAGCTCCTGATCTCTAGTCCTTGAGGAGTTATTATCAACCTGTAGTTGAGCTTGTTAAACTACAGACTTCTTCTTTTCTTTATTATCTGGAAAACTTTATCAAAAAGAAATTTTTTCTCATCTACCAGTTGTATAGCTTATATCAGGAAGGATAAAATAAATACATGATACATTCTTTTCCCTTAACCATCTTCAAAATAACAACTCTCAAGAGATGAAATAAAAAAGACTTGGAGTAGTGTCTGGCACAAGTGCAACTTAAATACAATTGTCCCTGTGTCCATGGGGGATTGGTACCACAATCCATTGATGTTCATGTTCCTGATTTAAAAAGCTGTAGAAGCTGAGCACTAGTGGCTTATGATGCTGGTATCTGAGGATCGGAGTTCAAAGCCAGCCCAGGCAGGAAAGTCCATAAGACTCTTATCTCCAACTAACCACCAGAAAACCATTAGTGGTACTATGGCTAAAGTGGTAGAATGCTAGCCTTGAGCACAAAAGCTCATCTAAGCCTTGAGTTCAAAAACCCATGACTGACAAAAGTGAAAATTTTTTTAAAAATAAAAAATAAAAAGGTTGGGCTGGGAAGATGGCTCAGTTGTAGAGTGCTTGCCTTGCATGCATGAGGCCCTGGGTTTGATTCCTCAGCACCACATAAGCAGTAAAAGCCAGAAGTGGCGCTGTGGGTCAAGTGGTAGAGTGCTAGCCTTGAGCTGAAGAGCTGAGGGACAGTGCCCAGGCTGAATTCAGGTCCCATGACTGACAAAAAACAAAAACAAACACACACAAAAAGATTGTATAATTTGTTATAACCTAAGTACATCTTACCACATTCTTTTTTGTTGTTGTTGTTGTTGGTCATGGGGCTTGAACTCTGGGCCTGGGCGCTGTCCCTCAGCTCTTCAACTCAAGGAGAGCGCTCTACCACTTGAGCTACAGCGCCACTTCCGGTTTTCTAATGGTTTATTGGGAGATAGGAGTCTCACGGTTTTTCCTGCCCAGGCTGGTTTTGAACCTCGATCCTCAGATCTCAGCCTCCTGAGTAGCTAGGATTATAGGCATGAGCCACTGGCACCCGGCATCTTACCACATTCTTGACATCATTTCTACATGACTTATACCTAATACTGTGTAAGTAATTGTTATATTGAATTGTTTAGGGAAGAATGTCAAGAGCACTTTATCTTTGTGGGTTATTTTCAACCTTTGGTTGGCTAAATCTGTGGATTTGCAAAAAGTGGCTATAAGGGCTGGTTGTATTTATCAAATAAGTAACACTCCCTCCCCACTGCACACTTCTGTGCTTTCGTCATTCCATCCTTTTCTCCTTCCCACCAGCCACAGGGCCTGAGCACAGCTTCCCTTTTCAGGTGTGATCAAAGCTGTTGTACTCAACTCAAGGAACACACACTGCCCAATTCCACAGAGAATTCATTTCCTTGGGAACAATGGAAACTTTTCTCCCACATTCTACTCACAGAGCATCACCAAGTTCTGATTCACCAATACATGATTCAATCCGCAGAGCTCTCTAGCTCAGATAAGGTAATATTGCCACAGCCAGCCTTCTAGGGTGAGCCATGAAGGCCTCTGAGCATGGTTGTCCACACTCAGCCCACACCTGCTCTAGACTTAGCCACATGCCCTTTCCACTGGCCACCTTCTCCCTGTGGATGTTGGGAGAGCCACCGACCTGAAATGCCAGGAGCCCTCTGGTCTTCTATTTGGGGTCAAAATAGCCCAAACTAACAGGCTAGTAGGAAACTAGCAGGAAAAAGTAGGTTGGAAAGAGGGAACAAAGCAGCCAAGCACTGGTGGTTCACACCTGTAACCCTAGCTAATCGGGGAGGTTGAGATCTGAGGATCGAGGTTCAAAGCCAGCCCAGGCAGGAAAGTCTGTGAGGCTCTTATCTCCAATTAACCACCAGAAAACTAGAAGTGGCTCTGTGGCTCAAAGTGGTAGAGAGCTAGCCTTGAGCTGAAGAACTCAGGGACAGTGCCCAGGCCCAGAGTTCAAACCCCATGACCAACAATAACAACAAAGAAGGAACAAAGCCTAAAAGAAAGGTGGGAAGGGACTGACTGCCTGAAGGACTTGTATGCCAAAAGCTGCAAATCTTCCTTAGGAACCAACACATTTGTTTTGGGACCCTGGAATGCTGGGGAGCATTGTTTTTAACTGTTACCATGGCCTTCTTGGCTTACCTGTGTGGCTTGGGCCCAGCAAGTGGGAACAGAGATGAGGCTAGGGACCTACCAGCATATTTAAGCACTGTTTCTTTCCACATTTTTCTGTAATACCTATTCCCAACCTCAGTGCCTTTCTGCTAACCCCTGTTCTGCTAACCCTCTCTCACAACCAGCTGCAGAAAAGGAAGAATCTTTGGGCTCCAAAATGATATCCGGACGTACAAAGACAAGACTCAAGAATGCTTGCCCGTGTCCCAAAGGGCTGTCCCTGAAGGAAAAGAAAGAGAAAAAGGAGGAGAAGGAGAAGAAGAAGGAGAAGAAGAAGGAGGAGAAGGAGAAGGAGGAGGAGAAGGAGAAGGAGGAGGAGGAGGAGAAGGAGAAGGAGGAGAAGGAAGAGGAGGCAGAGGACTACTGCACACCTGGAGCCTTCGAACTGGAGCGACTCTTTTGGAAGAGCAGTCCCCAGTACACCCATGTCAACGAGGTCTGGCCCAGGCTCCACATCGGAGATGAGTAAGTGCCAGGTCCTGCCTCACTCTGGCTTCCTCCCAGGTCACCAGGCATCTCTTCCTAGCCATAGCTTTAGTTTTTTTGGTTAGTTGTTCTGTGAGAAGTCTATGAGCAAACGTTAGGTATTTTACAGAAAACCCAGAAAGGGGTTTTAAGCAAGATAGAGATTTATTTCTCTCATGCACTTAATGTAAATCTGGAGGAAGGTTTGCTGGGGCTGACAGGGTGAACTGCAGGGTTATCAGAGACTCAAGCCCCAGTATTGTGTGTCACCATCCTTAGAGGCTGGCCTCCTTCCTTAAATTGTTTCAGGGTACCAGAATGCTGCTAGAGCAGAAAAGTGGAGAAAAAGAAGACAAAAGGGACAGTCTTCCAAGAGGAAGTCCCACCTAAGTCTGCTTAACTATAAGAGAGTCTGGGAAATGTAGTCTTACATTTTAGCTAGGTACAACAATAACAAGAATAAAATCAATTCTCTGGTTGACAGCAAAGGAGTCCACCAACCAATGTGTCTGGAAGGATGATAAGCCAAAGTTGAAGTTTTCTAGTTTTGTTTTGTTTTTGCCAATCCTGGGGTTTGAACTCAGGGCTTGGGCACTGTCCCTAAGCTTCTTTTACTCAAAGCTAATGCTCTACCACTTGAGCCACAGTTGCATTTTGGCTTTTGGAGGGGGGGGTAAAAAGGGGATAATTTATCGGAGATAAGTGTCTTACCAACTTTCCTGCCTGTTCTGCCTTTGAACAACAATCCTCAGATCTTAGCCTCCTGAGTAGCTAGGATTACAGGTGTGAGCTACTGGCGCCCAGTTGTTTTCTAGATTTTTATAACCACATCCCCCAAATAGAAATACCTACTATACATATTATTAGTAAAGTGATAGCTATCATTTATGGAATACTATGCCAAGCATTGAACAAAGTACCATATACATGCGAACTTATTTTATCCTCATGCTAACCCAATGAAAAGAGATCACATAATTTCTCTCATTTTAAAGGTAAGGAACCAAGGAACAGAACAGTTCAGTAAGTACCCTATAATTCAACAGATTGATGGTAGGGTTCTATTATGGTTTTGTTCTACCCAGAAACCTTGGTCATAGTTACCATTCCAGCTGCTCCCATATCCTCTGAAATATAGCTGTGTTCTGCCTCCCCATGGAGAACCCTGCCATGTGTGATCTTAATCCACACCACCATGCTTAATAAGATAAACTGATTTAATCACAGCAGTCACCAAAAGACACTATCCCTTGTCTCATCTTTTTCATTTTTTTAAATGTGACAAATTATTAAAAAAAATACATGCATTTTTAAATTACTAAATTAAACTGAATAAGGGGTCAGAAAAACTGCCTAACTACTCCTTTTTTTTTTTTTTTGTATGTGTGCAGGTACTGGGGCTTGACCTCAGGGCCTCAAGCTTGCTCAGCTTTTTTGTTCATGGCTGACCCTCTACCACTGAGTTATGCTTCCTCTAATTCTTGCATTTTGCTGGTTTAATTGGAGATAGTCTCTAGGGCTTTCCTGCCCAGACTGGCTTAGAACTGCGATCCTCAGATCTCAGTCTCCTGAGTAGCTAAGATTACAGACATGAACTGCTGTTACCCTGCTAGCTCTTTGCTTCTGTGATTCCTACCACTAAGTAGTACCTAAGTTCATGTGCAAACTTACTAGTTCATACAGCTATTGTAAACATAAAGAATCATAGTCACACATACAGAGGATTTACATTTCTTTTTAACATTTTTAAAGGAATCATACTATACACACTATCCTTTACTTTTAATATTCCACAGTATAACTGTGGTACAATTAATCCAGTCAATGCCCTGTGGAGAATATTAGGGAGTTGAGGGAGAGGACTGCATAGGAACTTTGTGTTTTTCTCTTTTGCTTTCAGCTTTATTGGGTTATAATTCACGTATCATAAAGTTCATCCTTTTAAAGTACACAATTCAGTGGTTTTATTATATTCAGAGTTATGCAACCATCACAAGTATCTAATTTCAGAACATTTTATCACTTCAAGAGGAAAACCAGAATCCATTAAGCACTCACTCCTTATTCCCCTGCAAGTACAAATCTGCTTTCTGTTTTTAATACATTCTCTTGTTCTGGATATTTCAAATATATGGACTCAAGATGATCTGTGATTTTTCTTTCACTTTGCATACTGTTCAAGGCTCATCCAAGTTGTACCAGGTATCAATATTCATTTTAATTATGAAACAATCTCTTTTTTTAACCAATACTGGGGCTCAGGAACTGGCTCTCACTTGACTTTCCCACACATGGCTAGTCCTCTAACACTTGAGATGACTCCAGCCTGGCATTGTATTTTATTATTTCAATTAAATTATGCTGATACTAAGGCTTGAACTCAAGGCCTCTCACTCTTGCATGGCATTTTCTCTCAAAGCTGGCATTCTACCATATGAGCCATACCTCCATTTCTAGTTTCTTGTTGGTTAATTGGAGATGAGGGTCTCACTGATTTGTCTGACTGGGCTGGCTTTAAACTATGATCCTTGGCCCCCTGAATAGCTAGGATTACAGGTGAGCCACTGGAGCCTGGCCTATTCTTGAACATGCAGGTTGCTTACATCTTTCCCTCTTTCATAAACAATGTTTAAGTAGACAACCTCATGCATACTTTTTTCCCCATATGTAGAATCATTTCTTTTTTGTTGCTGGTAATGGGGCTTGAACTCTGAGCCTGGTTGCTGACCCTCAGCTCTTCAGCTCAAGGCAAGCACTCTTCCACTTGAACCACAGTGCCATTTCCTGTTTTCTGGTGGTTTATTATTCTGGCTTGAACCATGATCCTCAGAGTAGCTAGGATTACAGGTGTGAGCCACCGGTGCCCGACAGAATTATTTCTTTAGATCTAATTCAAAAATAGTCCAACTGGGGGAAGAGGGCTTCAGGTTCCAGGCTTACTGTATCTCCATCTCTTTGTTTATGCTATTTCTTTATATCTTACCACAGTGTCTAGATTCCACACCTTCTTGAAAGTTCTCTCAAGTTACTTCAGTCATAAAGCTAGCGTCCTCTAATTCCCACAATAAGAAGTACATTTATCTCTCCATATTATATACTTTATTGACATATAATAATAATAATAATGTTTTGTTGAATTCCTATCCATGTCCCACATGCTAGATATTACTGAACTCTACAATAACTCTATACAGGCACTACTGTTATTTCCATTTTACAAGTGGACAAACCAAGGCTCCAAGAGTTCATTCATTCAGTCCATCAGTCACTAAATATATACTGGACACCTTGCTGAGGGGATGGAGGCTACAAAGAAAAGACAGACTTAGGGCTGGGAAGGTGGCTCAGTGGTAGAGTGCTTGCTGTGCATGCATGAGGCCCTGGGTTTGATTCCTCAGCACCACATAAGCAGTAAAAGCCAGAAGTGGCGCTGTGGCTCAAGTGATAGAGCGCTAGTCTTGAGCTGAAGAGCTGAGGGACAGTGCCCAGACCCAGAGATCAGGCCCCATGACTGACCAAAAAGAAAGAAAGGAAGAAAGAAAGAAAGAAAGAAAGGAAGGAAGGAAGGAAGGAAGGAAGGAAGAAAGGAAGGAAAGAAAGAAAGAAAGGAAGGAAGAAAGGAAGGAAGGAAAGAAAGGAAGGAAGGAAGGAAGGAAGGAAGGAAGGAAGGAAAGGAAGGAAGGAAGGAAGGAAAGGAAGAAAGGAAGAAAGAAAAGAAAGATGGAAAGAAAGAAAAGAAAAGAAATAAAGAAGGGCTGGGAAGGTGGCTCAGTGGTAGAGTGGTAGAGTGCCTTGCATGCATGAAGCCCTGGGTTCGATTCCTCAGCACCACATAAGCAAAAAGAAAAAAGCCGGAAGTAGCGCTGTGGCTCAAGTGGTAGAGTGCTAGCGTTGAGCTAAGAGCTGAGGGACAGCACCCAGGCCCAGAGTTCAGGCCCCATAACTGGACCAAAAAAAAAAAAAAAGAAAGAAAGAAAGAGAGAGAGAGAGAGAAAGAAAGGAAGGAAGGAAGGAAGGAAGAAAGGAAGGAAGGACAGACAGACTGACTTAGTGGGTATTACCAATAAGTGGTAGAATTTGTACTCAAAGCCCAGATCCAAAACCTATAATAAGAGAAAGAAGCTGTTCTCCAGTTGAATAAAGACAAAGATACATGGAGAAATGTAACAAGGAAGTAGAGTGGAAGGAATACTGCCAATTGCCGGTTTGAACTTGAACAAGTTATTTTACTGCTCTTCACTTTATCTCGAAGTGCCACTTGGGGGAAAAAGAGGAATCAATACAAAAGGGGCTGGCAGAGTGGTTCAAGTGGTAGAGCACCTACCTAGCAAATACAAGGCCCTGAGTTTAAACTCAATACCATAACTAATGTGCTAGCATGTGATCAAAGTATTATATACAGATTTGAAAATGTCATAATAAAATCCATTGTCTTATAAAATACGCTAGTAAAAATGTTAGTGTAACCCTTGAGCAAAAAAGTGCAGAGACAGCATCCAGGCCCTGAGTTCATGTCCCAGGACTGACTGGCACACACAAACACACAAATGCTTGAGGACTATCTAACCATTGTAAGTATTCAGAAAGCCTGGCATTATAGTGCTGAGATAGATAATAAAAGAGGTAGACTACAAACCTAGTCTTGAAAATGGGCAGGATTTCAGATACTCTACAACAGAGGGAGCAGGATAAAAAAGGCCATGTAGGTGAGAACAGAGTAACCTATCTGGAACACAGAGGCAAGTGGGGGAGAAAGTATACTTTCAGGAAGTCTAGGACTAGGGCAAATTCTTTTTTTTTTTTTTTGCCAGTCATGGTGCCTGAACTCTGGGTCTGGGCACTGTCCCTCAGCTCTTCAGCTCAAGGCTAGTGCTCTACCACTTGAGCCACAGCACCACTTCCAGCTTTTTTTGCTTATGTGGTGCTGAGGAATCGAACCCAGGGCCTCATGGATGCAAGGCAAGCACTCTACCACTTAGCCACCTTCTCAGCCCAACTAG